GAACCAACCTTCTTGATTTCGTCTCAATGCTCAACTCTGCCTTTCACATTACCGAGGTATCAGTGATACTTTTCTGGGATTTGGAAAGACCAATACATAGCCTTGCCTGTGTCTTCATACCATTTTCAGGAATTAAGCTTTAGTTTCTTCCCTCATCTAAGTCTGTGAGGGTACAGAGAGTATTTGCCGCATCTGAGTCCAGTGCATCAAGCAGCTCTAAAAGGAATACTCAGCAGATGTTTGTTGAATGAATGAAACTCTAGCTAAGTGACTTGAAGTGAGCACTAAACTTTCTGAGCAATAATTTTTTCATCTGTACAGTATGAACACCCATCCCTGAGTTTCCAACTTCACAGGGTTGTTTGAACATTAAGTGAAAATGCTTTGTAAGAATTTCCTTTGCAATTTGGTTTTTGGACCAAGTTGGGATTTCTGCTGTTGTTGCTGTTGTTTATGCCACTAGAATATATTTATTAGAATTTTCATGTGTATGAGCTTTGTCTTTTTTATCCCCTATATGGTAGAATCTGGAGAAGGGAATGGCAGTCCACTCCAGTATTCTTGCCTGGAAAATTCCATGGACTGAGAAGCCTGGCGGGCTGCAGTCCATGGGGTTGCAGAGTCGAACATGACTGAGTGACTAACACACACATGGTAGAATCATCTTATATTCACTTTTCTACTATCTCTGGTGAATCTTCACTCAGTTTCCAGTCACTGTAGCAGCTAAAAAGAATCCCTCCAAAGTGTAGATTCTGGAATAATCACACCAATTTACCTTTCTATGGGAACACATTGAATAGAAGTTAGCTTTCATCTTAAGGCAATATTTTTAACAAAATTTCAGACTTACCAAATTAATAAATCTTAAGAATCCATCTAGACAGCATATTAAAAAGCAGAGACATTACTTTGCCAACAAAGGTCCGTCTAGTTAAGGCTATGGTTTTTCCAGTGGTCATGTATGGATGTGAGAGTTGAACTAGAAAGAAAGCTGAGCGTCAAAGAACTGATGCTTTTGAACTGTGGTGTTGGAGAAGGCTCTTGAGAGTCCCTTGACTGCAAGGAGATCCAATCAGTCCATCCTAAAGGAAATCAGTCCTGAATATTCATTGGAAGGACTGATGCTGAAGCTGAAACTCCAATACCTTGGTCACCTGATGCGAAGAGCTGACTCATTTGAAAAGACCATGATGCTGGGAAAGATTGAAGGCAGGAAGAGAAGGAGACGACAGAGGATGAGATGGTTGGATGGCATCACCGACTCAATGGACATGAATTTGAGTAAACTCCGGGAGCTCATGATAGACAGGGAGGCCTGGCGTGCCACAGTTCATGGGATCGCAGAGTCGGAAACGACTGAGCAACTGAACTGAACTGAAGAATCCATCTGTAGAAGTTGGTTCATCAAGTACCAGATATTTACAGTGAGAGTAACATATGAGGATTAGGGGGTGAGAAACTCAATGCTTTTTTTCTTATTTTTAGTGACAAGTAGGTATTAAAGTTGATGGTTACAACTTGCAGAGTTCAGTGAATCAATATACAGCTGCCATACCTCACCCAATACACAACCTAAAAGTCCGAATACCTACTTCTTGTCACTTCCAGTCTTGGACTTCTTAACACACAATTTCTCATAGCCAGAAGGAAAGTGTACATTTAAAACTTTGGCCCAAAAGATAGACACAATTGCTACAAAAACTGCTTCCCTAGCCAATTAACAAGGTGTAGACTAAAAGAACAAAACAAAACCCAAAAAAGGCCTCTACCTCTTGTTAGGTGAGTAAGCTGCAGTAGATGTCAAGAAAAGGACAGGGACTTACCTCGTGGTACAATGGATAAGAATCTGCCTGGCGATGCAGAGGACACGGGTTTGATCCCTGGTCTGGGAAGATCCTACATCCTGCAGAACAACTAAGTTTCTGTGCCACAACCACTGAATCTGAGCTCCAGAGCCCACAAGCAGCAGCCCACATGCTCAACTACTGAAGACCATGCATCTAGAGCCTGTGCTCTGCAACAAGAGAAGTCACTGCAATGAGAAGCCCAGGCGTCAAAATGAGTAGTAGCCCCTACTTGCCCCAAGGAAAGAAAGTCCATGCACAGCCATGAAGACTGAGAGAAACCAAAAATAAATAAATAAATAAATAAATATTTTAAAAAGGGACTCATAGGTTATTATTATTTTTTTAAAAGGACAAGGTAAAACAGTTAGCCTAAAGTGGTATTACTTCACTTCTGTCAACATGGGGAGATTTCAGTTACTTTAAATGTATTTTGAACAAGAATTTAAAAAATCCTATTTCATTAATTCTTAAAATGGTTCAAAAATTCAAAGAAATAAATGAGCATTCAAATGGTTCAAAGAACAAAACAAAAACTTCTATTCCAATTTACTTAAGTAGTAAAATTAAAATATTTCATTAAAAATAAAAACACAACTAAGCTTACTCCCTTATCTTCCCCAAAGATTCCTGAAGGTAAGGATTTCAAATCAATGTCCTGGGCTTCCCTGGTGGCTCAGTAGTAAAGAATCCACCTGCCAATGTAGGAGATGTGGGTTCAATCCCTGATTCGGGAAGATTCCCACACGCTGTGAAGCAATTAAGCCCCTGCGCCACAATTTTGAGCTTGCATTCGAGCCTGGGAGCTGCAACTACTGAGCCACCACTGAAGCCTGGACACCCTAAAGCCCGTGCTCTGTAACAAGAGAGGCCACTGCAAACCGCAACTAGAGAGTAGCCCCTGCTCTCTGCAACTAGTGAAAAACCCATGCAGCAATGAAGATCCAGGACAGACAAAAATAAATAAATTATTAAAAAAATAAAAATCAACATCATCGTACATGTGTGTGTATATATGTGTGTGTGTATACATACAGCTGACTCATTTTGCTGTACAGCAGAAACACTGTAAGACAACTAATTCCAATAAAAAAATAAAATATGGAGAAGGAAATGGCAACCCACCCCAGTAATCTTGCCTGGAAAACGCCATGGACAGAGGAGCCTGGCAGGCTACAGTTCATGGCATTGCAAGAGTCAGACACAACTTAGCGACTAAACCATCTACTACTACCACAAAGTGAATATATGCCTAAAGATAACATGTGGAAAGGATATTTGCCATATACTAGCTAGTTTCTCTGGAGAAGGGTGGGAGTCAAGGAAGACTTGGGTTATTTTTTCATCAACTTCCATTTTATACTTAATGACCATTATTTTTACTAGTACTGTAAAACTATGAAAAATGAATAAAATACTAAAAGTTTCATGTAAAAATAAATTTAAAAATAAATGCCCTTCTCAAATGAATGGAGCAATAACTTCAACTTTCTATTTCTCTCCACTCATAAAATAGACAAAGGCATCACTGTTGTCCAGTTTTATTATTTTTTAATCTTTCCAACACATGAACTTTAATTCATTTTGAGATTTTTTTCAGTGCATTTCACAGCAAAAATGAACAAGGGAATCATTAAAATGGTTGTACATAAACCAATTATTTTCTTATAATTTACAATTTGTTGAAAAAATTATTTTTACTGTTTTCATCCTATTAACCCCCTTCAATAAAACACAATTTATCAGCGCACAAAGCTTAAACGTCTTATGTTGATGCAACAGATACAGCCACCTACAACGGCTGATGAATAATAGGTATATGTTACACACACTGATTGGAAGACCACATCAGGAGAAACAGAGTAAGGCACCACTCTTGGAAAATTAAGGTAGCTTGCAGTAAAATAAGTGTTGAGTACCATAAGTAGGCGCTCAATAAATACTTGAATGAATGATGAAAGCCATAATTAGCACTATTCTTTTGTCAGTAACTCTTCAACCTCAATAAAATACTTAAAAAAAAAAAATTTGTACCTGAATACAACTTCCTGATACCTTTTTTCCTGGTATCTTTTTAATTTCATACTCTTTCTTTAGCATTTGAGTTTCCTTGAAAAGAAAACAAAACCATATATTTAGTCACATATTCAAATTCTGAATTACTGACAAATAGGAATAGTTGTTTTAAATTTTGAGTGAACGGAGGTAAAATAAAGCATACTTATCCAGAGGGATAGCACATAATACTGGATATTAACCTATAAATGAAAAAAAGGTAAGGAAAACAGTAACAGCTTTATTTTTAAATATTTGCTAGGTTCTTTAATGCCTCAGTTCTTGAGAAAGGCCAAAATCTCATCATATTGACATGAACACATTTTAAAAAATTGTCTCTCAAGTATAATATTTAATAAAACTAGGTATTGAAAAATGTTCTGAAATTTTTCAAGTCAATGTTGTTTTCAAGTATATTAAAATGCTCAGAAGAAAAAATTCTCCATGGTTATAATTTTAATCAATTTATAAATATACTTTTTAAAAGAGAGTTCCAACAGAGGTGGATAATGGATAAGTTCCTCAGACACAGGCACACAGTCTCTTTGAAGGAACAGAATGCCTTGTTATGACAACCTGGTTGATTTTTTTTTTTTAACACTGATTTCAGGCACAATGGCTGAAGCCACTTCTGGGTCATCTTCTTCCTCCTCTTGGTTTGTTATAAGAGTAGCAAATACTTCAGCTACTAACAGAAAGCAAAGCACAAACTCTAAAAGAGACTTCAATTTTCACTATAAAGAAATTAAAATCACTGAGTTCTCATTGCGTTTATCTGCTGCCCCCATGCAAAAACAGGGGATTCAAACTTAGCTTCTGGAGCAGAAACTGGATAAGAGATTATTCATCTAGTAATTCAGGTGAAAGGTTTTCAGATGATATTGCTCACGTCACATGAACAGCTTGGTGAGAAGTCCATCGTGCTTCTTCAACACTTTGGTCTTGCTACAGTTCTATGGTGCCCTAATCGGTACATTCGTGTGTAATTAGTTTCAGTCTGTGCAATCAGGAAGCAGGTCACTCAGTGCAATGACTCCATACTGGGAGGGTTTAGGGTAAACAGAGAAGTTCATTTAGTTGAGTCTTAGATAGTATGTGTCACTCTGCTGGTTGTGTTGTTGGAATTATTTTCCAAAGGGGTTTGTGATAAACCCAGCCATCTCCCTGAAACAAGCAGAAAAACAAATTAAAGAACCATTCCTCTAGTATTTTCAGAATCAGTAACCAAAACTAGATGCTATGCTTTTATTGAAATGGAATTCTATTTTCACATTTAAACACAAGAGTTTTTAAAGAAAAGATCTCTTTTGCTTAAGACATCAAAAAGTATGTGTGGTTTAGCTAGGATTAGGTGAGAAGTTCTGGTCTGGAAAGACCTAGTTTGTGCTCCATGCGGAAGTCATCTGTAGCAACTCTGCTACTTTTGCCAAGATGCTTCAGACTGAGCCTCACCCAACAGAGTGACAGGTAGCATGTGGAGCACGGAAAACGGTCACCAACACACTAACTGTTCTCTACATGGCAAATGGCATCTCTAGTAGCTGAGTATTGTTTTTTAGTTCTTTCCTGACTCTATCCCTTAGCTTTCCCTGGTTCCTGTGAAGAGAAGGTTACCAAAAGGAGATAAAGTTAGTCAAAGTGTTTATTAAAGACAGGAGAAGACCAAGTGAGGAAAAAAGTGCTGTCGAGAATGCATGAAGCAGAATACTGGGGTAAAAGCTTGGCAAAGTTGAGGTCACAGTAGCTGAGACTGAAATTTAGTGTTTCTGCAATGAGGTTATTAGGTAAGTCAGATTTGAACCTCTGTCCATAATCCCTATATCAACTTCAATATATTTGCATTAAATTTTAAAAAATATATTTACAATACCCTGTTCCAAAAATGACTTATGGTCAGCAATTATGTGGCTCACAGTGACAAGACTCTCTCCTTGACTAAACTTTAAAAGTTAAGACTCCTTTGTCTCTAGTTTTGCCTAAGCCTTCTAGGCCTGCTGAACTCAGTTTTAGCCAAAAAAATCCCGATGAGCCAGATTATCAAGAATTCTCTCATTTTTGATATCCAATGAAGTTCCTCTCCTCCCACCTTCCAAATAATCACGGTCCTCCCTTGATCCATCATCACTGACATCTGACCAAGGCCTCCTGGTAATTTTCCATCTACTCCCTCATCCTACATGCTAGCTATAAACTCCTACTTAGCCCCATATTCAGCATTGAATTCAATCTTTCTCCTCTATTGCAATAGTCTTTTATTTTTTTATTTTGTATTTTTCCATTTATTTTTTATTAGTTGGAGGCTAATTACTTTACAATATTGTAGTGGTTTTTGCCATACATTGACATGAATCAGCCATGGATTTACATGTGTTCCTCATCCTAAACCCCCCTCCCGCCTCCCTCCCTATCCCATCTCTCTGGGTCATCCCAGTGCACCAGCCCCGAGCACTTGTCTCATGCATCCAACCTGGACTGGCGATCTGTTTCACACTTGATAATATACATGTTTTGATGCTGTTCTCTCAGATCATCCCACCCTCGCCTTCTCCTATAGAGTCCAAAAGTCTGTTCTATACATCTGTGTCTCTTTTTCTGTCTTGCATATAGGGTTATTGTTACCATCTTTCTAAATTCCATATATATGTGTTAGTATACTGTATTGGTCTTTATCTTTCTGGCTTACTTCACTCTGTATAATGAGTTCCAGTTTTATCCATCTCATTAGAACTGATTATTGCAATATTCTGATGTCATTTAATCACATTACAGAATGCTAGGTTTACAAGTTAACCTGTACCATCTGACCATCTCATTTCAAAGGAAAAATGGAGGCTCTGAGAAGTGAAATGGGCAGCCCAACTTCACCCAAGAAGGGACAGAGTTCCTTCCAGTACAATTTCTGTATATCTACCTACACTTAAAAAATAATAATTTTATTTATTTATTTATTTTTATTTTTGCTGTGATAGGTCTTTGTTGCTGCATGGGCTTTTCCCCAGTTGTGGTGCAAAGGCTTCTGATTGTGGTGGCTTCTCTTGATGTAGCATTCAGGGTCTAGGGTGCGTGGACTTCCAGTAGTTGCGGCATGTGGGCTCAGCAGCTGTGGTTCCCAGGTTCGACGGCTGTGGTGCACGGGCTAAGCTGCTCTGTGACATGTGGGATCTTCCCAGATCAGAGATAGAACCTGTGTCTCCTGCATTGGCAGGTGGATTCTTTACCACTGAGCCACCATGGAAGTTTAGCACCTACCTACATTTTACAGATGAGGAAACTGAAGTGAGAAAGGGTAAATAAACTATCCAAGGTATGAGCTGGGGTGGAAACTTAGCACATCTGACTCCAATGTGGCCCACTATTCTGTAAAAGCCTTCCTGCTTGCATTTATACACATCTTAAGAAATTTTAAACATCCATTTAAGAGGATACAACCAATAGATCCTGATGGATATGTATAATCACAGAAGGGCGGAAACAGATATAATTTATTTTCTTGGGCTTGAAAATCACTGCAGACAGTGCCTGCTGCCATGAAATAAAAAAATGCTTGCTCCTTGGAAGAAAAGCTATGACAAACCTAGACAGCATATTAAAAAGCAGAGACATCCCTGGAGAAGGGAATGGCAACCCACTCCAGTATTCTTGGCTGGAAAATCCCACAGACAGAGGAGCATAATGGGCTATGTCCATGGCATCACAAAGAGTTGGGGAAAAAAAAAAGCAAAAAAAAAGCAGAGACATCACTTTGCCAACAAAGGTCCATAGAGCCAAAGCTATGGTTTTTCCAGTAGTCATGTATAGATATGAGAGTTGGACCATAAAAGAAGGCTGAGAACCAAAGAATTGATGCTTTTGAACTGCTGTGCTGGAGAAGACTCTTGAGAGTCCCTTGGACAGCAAGATCAAACCAGTCAATCCTGAAGGAAATCAACCCTGAATATTCATTGGAAGCACTGATGCTGAAGCTAAAGCTCCAATACTTTGGCCACCTGTTGTGAAGAGCAGACTCATAGAAAAGACCCTGATGCTGGGAAAGATTGAGGGCAGGAGGAGAAGGGGACAACAGAGGACGAGATGGTTGGATGGCATCACTGATTCAATGGACATGAATTTGAGCAAACTCCAAGAGATAGTAAAGGATAGGGAAGCCTTCTGTATTGCAATCCATAGGGCCACAAAGAGTTGGACATGACTAAGCAACTAAACAATGACAAAGAAGATCTAGTAAACTAAATGTCAATGAGAAATGGTTAGGAAAAGAGGGTGGGTATTACCAAATGATTCTAGAAACACTTAAGTTCACCTATAATTTCTCAGGTTACTCTCTCTCCTTGTTCTATACCAAAAGACTCTATTCCATACTCCATCTAAAGCCAATTTCAAACTGGTCTATAATTGGTCTCACAGCAATAATGAAAGTACCAAACAAATGAAAAAGCTCTTGTTACTCATAACAATATGGATGAAATACCTACTATGTATCTAGCATTCTGCCTAGGACCACAGGAAGACAAAATAGGCTTTTCAGTAATATGATTTTTCTTAGCAAAGAGCCATACCTGAAGGCAAGAGCTCCAAAGTTGTTATGAACCTTGGGGTACCAGCTTCAGCTATCTCATCAGCCTCATTTGACTCTGCAGTGCTTCTCACAGCACAAGCCATGGTCCTGTCACACACAGGATGTGACTTGACTGTTCTATGAGATTCAGTTCAGCTCAGTTCAGTCGCTCAGTCATGTCTGACTCTTTGCAACCCCACGGACTGCAGCACGCCAGATCTCCCTGTCCGTCACCAACTTTCGGAGTTTACTCAAACTCATGTTCTTTGAGTCAGTGATGCCATCCAACCATCTCATCCTCTGTCGTCCCCTTCTCCTCCCGCCGTCAATCTTTCTCAGCATCAGGGTCTTTTCAAATGAGTCAGCTCTTCACAACAGGTGGTCAAAGTATTGGAGTTTCAGCTTCAACATCAGTACTTCCAATGAATATTCAGGACTGATTTCCTTTCGGATAGACTGGTTGGATCTCTGTGCAGTCCAAGGGACTCTCAAGAGTCTTCCCCAACACCACAGTTCAAAAGCATCAATTCTTCTGCACTCAGATTTCTTTCTAGTTCAACTCTCACATCCATACATGACTACTGAAAAAACCACCGTTTTGAATAGACAGACCTTTGTTGGCAAAGTAATGTCTCTGCTTTTTAATATGCTGTCTAGGTTGGTCATAACTTTTCTGCCAAGGAGTAAGCATCTTTTAATTTTATGGCTGCAGTCACCATCTGCAGTGATTTTGGAGCCCCCCAAAATAAGTCACTGTTTCCACTGTTTCCCCATCTATTTGCCATGAAGAGATGGGACCAGATGCCATGATCTTAGTTTTCTGAATGTTGAGCTTTAAGCCAACCTTTTCACTCTCCTCTTTCACTTTCATCAAGAGGCTCTTTAGTTCTTCTTTCCTTTCTGCCATAACGGTGGTGTCATCTGCAAATCTGTGGTTATTGGTATTTCTCCTGGCAATCTTGATTCCAGCTTGTGCTTCATCCAGTTCAGCATTTCTCATGATACACTCTGCATATAAGTTAAATAAGCAGGGTGACAAAATACAGTCTTAATGTACTCCTTTTCCTATTTGGAACCAGTCTGTCATTCCATGTCTCATTCTAGCTGTTGCTTCTTGACCAGCATACAGATTTCTCAGGAGGCAGGTCAGGTGGTCGATATTCCTATCTCTTTAAGACTCTTCTACAGCTTGCTGTAATCCACACAGTCAAAGGCTTTGGCATAGTCAATAAAGTAGAAGCAGGTGTTTTTCTGGAACTCTCTTGTTTTTTCGATGATCCAATGGATGTTGGCAATTTGATTTTGGGTTCCTCTGCCTTTTCTAAAACCAGGTTGAACATCTGAAAGTTCATGGTTCACATACTGTTGAGGCCTGGCTTGGAGAATTTTGAGCATTACTTTACTAGCATGTGAGACGGGTGCAATTGTGTGGTAGTTTAAACATTCTTTGGCATTGCATTTCTTTGGGATTGGAATGAAAACTGACCTTTTCCAGTCCTGTGGCCACTGCTGAGTTTTCCAAATTTGCTGGCATATTGATTGCAGCACTTTCACAGCATCATCTTTGAGGATCTGAAAGAGCTCAACTGGAATTCCATCACCTCCATTAGCTTTGTTTGAAGTGATGCTTCCTAAGGCCCACTTGACTTCACATTCACATTCCAGGATGTCTGGCTCTAGGTGAGTGATCACACTATTGTGATTATCTGGGTTGTGAAGACCTTTTTTGTCTAGTTTTTCTGTGTATTCTTGCCACCTCTTCTTAATATCTTCTACTTCTGTTAGGTCCATGCCATTTCTGTCCTTTACTATGCCCATCTTTGCATGAAGTGTTCCCTTGGTATCTCTAATTTTCTTGAAGAGATCTCTAGTCTTCCCATTCTATTGTTTTCCTCTATTTCTTTGCATTGATCACTGAGGAAGGCTTTCTTATGTCTCCTCGCTATTCTTTGGAACTCTGCATTCAGATGGGTATACCCTTCCTTTTCTCCTTTGCCTTTCACTTCTCTTCCTCTCCATGAGCTTAGGCAATCAATATTTGTCATAAAATCTTCCTTATCTATTTTGAACAACTGTGCCATGGCACACCATTTAGAAAGACATCTTATATCTTACCACCTAAAGGGGCCCAAATGTGAGTCAGCATCTCCAATCTACTGTTCCATCAGGCAGCTAGTTAAGATTACTTAGGTGGAAAGAAAATCAGTATTTTACTGGACAATTGCTGTATCTTGCTACCACTTTCTACACCTGTCTATTCAACATTACTAAATGTAATAAAGGTATTAAGTGGTAGGCTCTTAATAATAATCTGTCAAATAAAGAATGAATGAGAAGTAGCATGTTTCCATGTCATGTTAGTTGAAAGATACAGGAGGCCTATCTTTTAAATTTGGTTGCATCTTTTACCATTACAATTTCTTGCTCTTAGCCAATACAGTCCATTTTTAATGATTTATAGAAGTCTTCCCTTAGAAAATTTTTCCTGTGTTTGGTATATCTGCTTTCTTAGTGAGCTTGAAATGAAAAAAATCCAAGGTTCCAAAACTTTAATTTTGCAGAGTAATTACAATGGTTTTATTTTTCCATATAAAAAGATACAGAAAGGACTTTCCCTTCAATTCCTATCCATGAAAACAGTTGGTATTTATATCAGATATCCAAAGATGAGAAAAATTAAAGCAATGAAATTACTATAATAAACTATGTGCTTTTTAGAGTAGTAGCTATCCAAAATTCACATTCAAATGATTTTTCCAGAGTTTTTCCTGACAGACCAATTGAAATTCAATGAGTTTCCTTAGACTTGGCTATGGACAAGAAAAGTTTTTTTGGCATTGGCTCTGGTCCATTATTCACCTTACTCTGAGTTCTACCAGAAAGTAATAAACAAAATAAAATAAAACCTTTAAATTTAGAAAAGACTTTAGAAATCATTTAGTCTTAACTGCAAAACCAGTGAATTGAACTCTTCTATATAAGCTTTGGTCTCTTATATGAGCTTAGTGATAGGAACACATTACTATAAAATGTACACTTGTTATTATTGGGTATTTTTATTGATAAACAATTCTTTCTTATGTTAAGCTCAAAATGTGCTTTGTAGATTTAGGCCTAGCTCAAGTCTGCTATCCAAGTTGACAAAAAACTTCTATGTGAAAGCCTATTTATACTTGAAGAAAGCTATAATGAACAGCCCCAATTTTCTGTTTTCAGTCTAAACACTCACCATTTCATTCTTTTATCCTTAAGCACTGTAAAGATTCTAGCCACTTCACTATCTTCTGTGTGGCCAATTAAGTTTTTCATGTATCCCTTAAAATGTGATCTTTGGAAGTGAAAAAAGTTTCACTGTTGTGGCACAATGGCAACAAACTTTTAATTGTGTATTCATTATTGAGATTAAAGATTAATCTTAGTATTTTGTGGTGAATTTAAATCCCCAAATCTATTTCTGTACTGCTAGTGAACTATTCTATTTGACAAATTGTCAAAAAGTCACAAAAAGCTCATGGTTAAGCTGGACTATTTTCAAAGAAACAAAGATATGTAAGTGTTAACAAGTCAAAAAAGCCTACTAAGGTAAAGTTCTCATTATGTAGATAATGAGTTTTAGTCTGAAGGCATATAGGACATATACCTCTTTAATAAAATATTTGGTTTTCCAAGGTGTGCCTGTTTCAGTACGATGCCTTTCTTCAGTCCTCTGGCGTTCTTCCAGGGTACGTTTATGCTCTGTGGCTTTATCGATTTCGGAGTCCCTCAGAGAGTCTGTCACATTTTTCCACAATCGCCTGAAAACAGAAAGCCACATGCTTTACAAACATTCTTCAAAAAAAAAAAAACCAGAATGGATACCCTCAAAATTAACAGTAATTTTAAAAAATTACATTTCCTGAATCATATCTATAATTTCACACATGAGTTATAAGAATACATACTGTGTTGCTGATGTTAATGTCCAAGATGCTGCTGTTTCTGCTTCTTTTTAAATTAAAAATACTGTATTTTTTCCCAAGTTATATAACCAAGATTTTATTTTAAAGAAACTTAGGAAATAAGAAGCAAAAAGAGAAATATATATTTAAAAAGCTGAAACAGAAGACACCATTTCTGCTTCTGGACATGATGAAATAAGGGGCACCAGATCTACCCTCCCACTTATAATCAGCTAGAAAACTAGACAAAAATATATAAACAATGGTTTTCAGATATTGAACAAAAGGCAGCAGAGGACAATGATTCCTGAGAGGAGGCAAACAAATGAGGGGAACCCTAGGAGTGCTCCAACTAGTTAGAGAGCATTTGCAGGCACAGCACAGGGAAGGGGAAGCTCAAAAGACTCCAAGCAAAAGAAAACTGCCAAGACAATTCTTGGGGAAAGTATAGTCTATTCAACAAATGGTGCTGAAAAAACTGGATATCCGCGTGCAAAAATGTGACCTTAGACTCTCATGTCACAACAAAACTAAGAAGATATAAGAAAATCTTTGAGACTTTGGGTTAGGCAAAGATTTCTTAACTACAACACCAAAACCATAATCTATAAAAGAAAACATTGATAGTCTCACCTCATCAAAATAAAAACTTATTACTGAAAAAAACACCATTAAGAAAATGGAAAGACGAGCAATAGATAAGGACACAATATTTACGAAACACATACCCAACAAAGGAATTGTGTCTAGAATTTACAAAGAACTCCTATAACACAATAAGACAACAAACAGTTCAATTTAAAAAATAGGCAAAATTTATAAGTACACATTTCAACAAAGAAGATATACAAATGGCTAACTAGCACATAAAGACATGTTCAACATCATTAGCCATTAAGGAAATACAAATTAAAATCACAATGAGATACTATTTCAGACCAGCTCGAATGGGTATATTAAATAAGATAGGCAATAACAAATGTTGATGAGGATGAGAACTGGAACCCTCATATGTTCCCAGCAGAAATGTAAAATGGTGCAGCCATTTTGGAAAATAGTTAGGCAGTTATGTGAAAAGTTAGACATAAAACCCACAGAAACCAGCAATTCCACTCTGAGGTGTTTTACCCAAGAGACATGAAAACATGTCCACAAAAGATTTGCACAAGAATGTTCACAGTGGTGTGTGCATGCTAAGTCGCTTCAGTCCTATCTCTCTGTGGCCCATGGACTGTAGCCCGCCAAGGTCTTCTGTCCATGGGATTCTCCAGCCAAGAATACTGGAGCGGGTTGCCATGCCCTTCTCCAGGGGATCTTCCCAACCCAGGGATCAAACCCAGGTCTCCCACATTGCAGGCACATTCTTTACCATTTGAGCTATCCCAGAAGCCAAACCAGGAGTAAAACTATGGTTTAATGCTCATTTTTGTAAGTAGACTTTTGTTTTAATATAGCAACATCTATCTGTTTTTGTCTATGGCTACTTTCATGCTACAATGGCTGAACTGAGCTGTGGTAGAGCCCATCTAGTCCATCAAGCTTAAGATATTCATTCTGAGATCAAACCATCAATCCTAAAAGAAATCAATCCTGAATATTCATTGGAAGGACTGATGCTGAAGTTGAAGCTGCAGTACTTTGGCCACCTGATGCAAAGAACTGACTCATTGGAAAAGAGCCTGATCCTGGGAAAGACTGAAGGTAAGAGGAGAAGGGGACGACAGAGGATGTGATGGTTGGATGGTGTCACCAACTTGATGGACCTGAGTTTGAGCAAGCTCCAGGAGTTGGTGATGGACAGGGAAGGCTGGCATGCTGCAGTCCATGGGGTCACAACGAGTTGGACACGACTCAGTGACTGAACTGAACAGAGCCTTTTAACAAAAGAAGTTTGCTGACCCTTACCTAACTTCTATTTTAAGAAACTATAAAAAGTTAAGAGCAAATGATGCACAAAATAAACAGAAAAAAGGAAATAAGAGCAGAAATCAATTAAAAAGAAAACAGAAATATAGAGAGACATCAATGAAACCAAAAACTAGTTCTTTGAGTAAAATTAATGAACCTTTAATCACATTAATCAGGAAAAGAATCATGAATACAAAGAATGAGTGTGACATCATCATTATAGAGCCTATAAACATTAAAAAATAAGCACATATTATAAAACACATGTCAATAAATTTGAAAAATTGAACCAACTCTTTGAAAGATAAAAACTACCAGTTTGCTCAAGAAGTAGATAACCTCAATAGCCCTAGGTACTAAAGATATTAAATTTATGGTTAAAAATTTTCTCCCAAAGAAAACAAAAGGCCAATAACCCCCAGGAATGCAGACAAAAAAATCTATAATACAAGTTTAGCAAAGAGAATCTCTTAAACTCCTGGTTCAATAATAGCCAGATTCTTATATCTGCTTCTACATTCAATTTATTGTGATATGTATTGTTTTAGTTAAAGTATATAAAGAAAATATGGCCTCACACAGATATATAGTTAGTAAAGAGAAGGGATTTTAATAGCTATTTCAAATAACTCAATTCTTTATTATTATATTAAAACTCAGAAAGTGGTAGTTCTTAAAAGATTAGTTGCAATGTGGAAACTGAAAGATGTCAATGAATTTTTCATACTCTAATACATGAAAATCCATTGGTCTAATTTGTACCTTCAATGGAATTTTTATCCATGCATAATTTTGTAATATCATACAAAATATCACTGCAAAATATCATGCAGTGATCATCTGAAAAAATCATCTTCCAGATGTTGACATATTTTATTATGTCATATTTTTAAAAATCACCTTCATTAGTTTCACCACCAATTTCATTTATTATACAATATAATTTGTATATACAATATACATTTATTATACAATTAAAAAAATACTGCCAATTGTATTGGGTTTACTAGGGAAGCTTTCAATTCATTGTGACAGATAAAAGTTTTCTAAAATTTTGACTTAAAAGCTTTTGCACAACAAAGGAAACTATAAGCAAGGTGAAAAGACAGCCCTCAGATTGGGAGAAAATAATAGCAAACGAAGCAACAGACAAAGGATTAATCTCAAAAATATACAAGCAACTCCTGCAGCTCAACTCCAGAAAAATAAATGACCCAATCAAAAAATGGGCCAAAGAACTGAACAGACATTTCTCCAAGGAAGACATACAGATGGCTAACAAACACATGAAAAGATGCTCAACATCACTCATTATCAGAGAAATGCAAATCAAAACCACAATGAGGTACCATTACACGCCAGTCAGGATGGCTGCTATCCAAAAGTCTACAAGCGATAAATGCTGGAGAGGGTGTGGAGAAAAGGGAACCCTCTTACACTGTTGGTGGGAATGCAAATTAGTACAGCCACTATGGAAAACAGTGTGGAGATTTCTTAAAAAGCTGGAAATAGAACTGCCATATGACCCAGCAATCCCACTTCTGGGCATACACACCGAGGAAACCAGATCTGAAAGAGACACGTGTACCCCAATGTTCATCGCAGCACTGTTTATAATAGCCAGGACATGGAAGCAACCTAGATGCCCATCAGCAGACGAATGGATGAGGAAGCTGTGGTACATATACACCATGGAATATTACTCAGCCATTAAAAAGAATTCATTTGAATCAGTTCTAATGAGATGGATGAAACTGGAGCCCATTATACAGAGCGAAGTAAGCCAGAAAGATAAAGACCATTACAGTATACTAACACATATATATGGAATTTAGAAAGATGGTAACGATAACCCTATGTGCAAAACAGAAAAAGAGACTCCTATGTATAGAACAGACTTGTGGACTCTGGGAGAAGGCGAGGGTGGGATGTTTCAAGAGAACAGCATTGAAACACGTATATTATCTAGGGTGAAACAGTTCACCAGCCCAGGTTGGGTGCATGAGACAAGTGCTCGGGCCTGGTGCACTGGGAAGACCCAGAGGGATTGGGTGGAGAGGGAGGTGGGAGGGGGGACCGGGATGGGGAATACATGTAAAAAAAAAAAAAAAAGATACACTATGGTTGTGATAAAAAAAAAATTAAATTAAAAAAAAAATATATATATAAAAAAAAAAATAAATAAATAAATAAATAAGTTTTCTAAAATTTTGATATTTGCCTTTAAAACCTTCATTTTTTCCTCAAGTTTTACTAAGATACAATCGACATACAGCTCTGTATAAGTTTCAAGAGTATAGCATAATGATGTGATTTACATATATTGTGAAATGATTACCACAATAAGTTAAGATTCATCCTCTCACATAGAAACAAAAGCAGAAACATTTTTTTTTCTTCCTTGTGATGAGAACTCTTAGGATCTATTCTCTCAACCAATTTCAAATATACCTAACAGCAGTGTTAACCACAATTATCATGAGGTACGTTACATCCCCAGTACTTATTTATCTTATAACTGGAGGTTTGTATGTTTTGACTACCTTCATCCAATTCCTTCACTCCCTACCCCACATTTCTGGTAACCACAATCTGGCTTCCTTTCTATGAATTTTTTTAAAAAGTTTTGTTGAAATATATAGTTGATATATAACATTGTGTTGGTTTCAGGTATACAACATAATAATTTAGTATTTGTATTACTACGAATGGTCACTACAATAAGTCTAGTCAACCTCCATCACCATGCATATTACCAAAAACATTTTCTTCTTGTGATGAAGACTTTTAAGAACTACTTTCTTAGCAATTTTCAATTATCCAATAGAGCTATAATTAACTATAGCCACTGTGCTGGAGAAGGAAATGGCAACCCACTCCAGTATTCTTGCCTGGAGAATCCTGTGGACGGAAGAGCCTGGTAGCCTACAGTCCACGGGGTCGTAAAGAGTCAGACACGACTGAGCAACTTCATTATGCTGTACATTATGTCCTCATGACATTTATTTTAAAACTGGAAATTTGTACCTTTTGACCTACTTCATTCATTTCACTCACTGCCCAGGTGCCCACCTCTGGCATTTTGGCAATAATGCCAATCTCTGTTTTCTGTATCTGTGAGCTATTTTTTTTTAAGATTCGACATATAAGTAAAATCATACAGTATTTGTCTTTACATATCTGACATTTCACTTGGCATAATGTTCTCAAGATCTACTCACGTTGTCTCAAATGGCAAGATTTCATTCTTTTTATGTTGAATGCTACTCCCAATTATAAAAATACTGGGAGTATTATTATACAATAAAAAAAAATACTACCAATTGTATAAATGAGACCATTGAGTATTTGCTCCTTCTCTGACACTTCATATAATGTCCTCAAGGTCCATCCATGTTATCACAAATGGTGGGATTCCTTTCCTTTTTAGGACTGAATAATATTCCATTATAAATACACATCACAACTTGCTTATCCATTTATCTGTCAATGGATGGTTAGGTTGTTTCCATTTATATTTTATTATTAGCAAAAAAATTATTGCCGATTGTTTTCCTTTAAGTGCCATGTTCACAGCATTCGTTTACAAGAAAAATGTCTGCCCAATATTAAAATGATAACAGTCTTAGTTTGTCAATCACCTAAGTAAAAATGGTGCTTCAAGAAAGGGTAATCTGCTTGTAACTCCATCAGTTGCACAAGTTCTCTTCTTTCAGATAATCAGTGTACTTTATCATCTAGCACAAATGCTTTATGTATATTCCAAGTGTATCATGCAGAATATTTTTTAAAAAGACAGGTAGTCAATGTTCTAGATCTAAAAAAACTAATCATCTGCACTGCTTTTCAAGGACATTTTTAAAAGAAAATGTAGAAAAGAAAAAAAACTGCAGGGCAGTAAGGAACACACGATTACTTTTACAGTTTGATATCACCGCCTTGAACGGTGCTAAGGCCCAGCAGTGCTACCCACCACTGCTTCTGTACCACCAATGCAAGTGCCAACAGAATGAAAAAGGCAAATAGTATTTTAGTATTATTAAGAAAGCTTTCTCAACTTGCCAACCCCTGGTACAAATATCAAGGGCACCAGGGGTCCACAAACCAAACCTTGATGCATGCTCCTAAATAAATCCTAAATAATCATAAATAAGAATTTTTTTTTCAGTCACTACTGTTTTATTTTTTGACCCAACCTGAGTTTTTGCTTAATGGGTACTAAATCTCTTTACACATCTGCTTATAAATGGTTTGGTTCCATTTATGTGACCTTAAGATGGTTAATGCTTCCTTATATTTGATACAGTAATACTTACATGTGATATAAAATTTAAACAGTACAAAAGGGCATTCTGTGAAGAGTTAAGTCTGTTTCTCATCAGAGAGATGAATAAGTGGTTCAGTTGTATCTGACTCTTTGTGACCCCAGGGACTGCAGCCTATCTGACTCCTTTGTCCATGGAATTTTCCAGGCAAGAATACTGGATTGGGTTGCCATTTCCTCCTCCAGAGAATCCTCCTGACCCAAGGAGCTCCTACATCTCCTGCGTCTCCTTCATTGGCAGGCAGATTCTTCACCGTTGCACCACCTGGAAAGCCTAGACCCCAGTATTCCTCTCTGGAAGCAACTACTGCCAATACATTCTGGAGACTACCTTATTAACACATATAGAGCCACTTCATTTACTTTAAAAAAAAAATTATATAATCGCTGCATGGGCTTTTCTCTAGGTGCAGCAAGCGAGCACTACTCTAATTGTGGTGCTCAGGCTTCTCACTGCCGTGGCTTCTCTTGTTGCGGAGTATGGGCTCTAGAGCACGTGGGCTTCGGTATTTGTGGCTCCTGGGCTCTAAAGTGCAGACTCAAGAGTTCTGGCCCATGGGCTTAGTTGCTCTGCAGAGTGTGAGATCTTCCCAGACCAGGGATTGAACCCATTATCTCCTGCACTGGTAGGAAGATTCTTTGCCACTGAGCAATCAGGGAAGCCCCATTTCATTTATCTTTTTCTTTTTTTCTTAATATTTATTTTTACTTATTTATTTAGTTGGTGACAGGTCTTTGTTGCAGCACATTGGATCTTTGATCTTTATTGTGGTATGAGAACTCTCAGTGTGGTATGTGGGATCTAGTTCCCTGACTGGGGACTGAACCCAGGCCCCTGAATTTGGAGCATGGAGTCACTGAACCACCAGGGAAGTCCCCCGTTTCATTTAAAGGCCTATGACATATATTTCCCAAATACCTTCTAGGAAGATTGTATCAGTTTACCTCTCTAACCAACAATATGAAAATGTCTATTCACTTTTCCCCAAAGGAGATACCATTTAAAAAAATTTTTGTATTTCTTTGAATTCTAATTATAATGAACAATTTTTCATTTTCTTAGTGGGTATTGTTTTCTTCTATTTTTGTGAACTACCTCTTTATGTCTTTGCCCATTTTCCTATTAGGGTACCCATCTTTTTATTAATAACTTGTTAAGAGCTTGTATGACAAAGATAGTGATCCTTTAACCACTAAAAGTTCTTATTTTTGTCTAGTTTACAAATGTTTTATTTTTACTAAAATGTGACTATGTACACATAATGTCATAGCTGGTACAGTGTTTACAAACATGAGATCAGGCCAACACTTTCAATTTACAGATGAGGAAGCTTATCTAAAGTGGTGAAGTGACTTGCCAAGGGTTAGAAATTAGTGAAAAGGCTTAAATTAAGACCTAGGCTTTCTGACTCTTTCCTGATGGATGCAAGGATAACACACCTGGATTCAAATGGATCCTGCTTCTCCAAAGGTCTTACTCTTTTCTTCGTCACTGCCAACTTAGTCAAGTCCACGTATTTTGTCTCTCCACTGCTGTAAGCAAACTCAAGAATGCTATTCCATTCCCCTTGTACTCTGCATACAACAGTGTTGGTGATGTTGTGCTTTACTTCACCTGTAACCCTAGAAACAGGCAGAGGAAAAAAAAAGCTTTAATAAGTAATACTGTGCTTGTTTCTTAGGGATTTTAAAACCCCAAGAATGTACTTTGTGAATTCTGTTTAAAACAGTTAACACAATTCGCTTCAGTCTGTTGGTGCCAAAGTCAGAGTCTCTGTAAATCCATGATAGTTTCTGAGATAATTTTTTCAAATATATTAATTTGATTTTAGAAAGAATACTGGGAATCAAACTAGAGACTTACCATAAATGATCACAAAGTACGATATTTTAATTTCTACTACAAACAACTATTAAAACTAAGTAGGAATATGAAAAATAATTCTTTTTTTTATTACATTACAAAAAACATTATTACATTACATATTACATTATTACATACATAAAACATTATTACATATTACATATTACAAAAAAAATCCTTTTTTTATTACAGTCAAAAATGTTAAAACACTAGGGGCAGGGTAAAAACGTTACAACACTATAGCTTATTCAACATTTTTTAAAAAAGAACTAGTCCTATTTATTTAAAAGATTAAAAGTCCCTAGATTTCCCTGGTAGTGCAGTGGATAAAAATCCGTCTACCGATGCAGGAGACATAGCTTCAACCTCTGGTACAGGAAGATTCCACATGCCACAGAGCGACTAAGCTTGTGCACCACAACTACTAAAACCTATGGGCCCTAGAGCCTGTGCTCTGCAACAACAGAAGCCGCTGAAATGAGGAGACTATGCACCACAATGAAGAGTAGTCCCAACTTGTTGCAACTAGGAGAAAACACACACAAAGCAATGAAGACCCAGCGCATCCAAAAATAAATAAATGAATAACTAACTTTTAAATTAAAAAAAGTTCAGAAAATGTGAATTCTGGATATATAAATTCTATATAAAATCACATAAGCTTAATTTTAAGTTAAATACAGAAATCAGATAATGAGAGAAAAAATAAGATATATTAAAATTTTTATAATTCTCTTAAAAAGAACACTGGCATACAAAAATTACTGCCAGCAACACAAAACTCTGAGAGTACTCAAGCACTACTGTTGAAAGTTTAATGAAGGGTTATCTGGCTGGTTTATCAACAGACAGATAGGATGCAGCTCAAATGAAGGCTGGGATAGAAAACAGGTCTAATTATTTTTAATGAAGTACTCTATGTTCACTGTTGGACACAAACAACAGGGTACAATTAGACAAAGATTGAGAACTCAAAGAATAGTGGGCAAATACTAAGGTCTGGTCAGTGTACCAGGGATTACGGTTTATCTGGATTCAAAAGGGGATCTAAAGGACCCAAGGCCATGTTCAGGTGATAGCTCAGGAACCCAAAGTAGCATCTGTCAGATATAAGTCAAGAGCCTGGGAACCAGAAGGATATGGTTGAATTTAGGGAATCCATAGCTTTTAATCAGGAGAAGTGAATGGCCTACAAATTCAAAACTTGAGGCAGAGGTATAGGAGCCAACAGGCTTCCTGATGGCTCAGTGGTCAAGTACCTGTTTGCAGTACAGAAGACACTGGGTCAATCTCTGGGTCGGGAAGATCCCCTGGAGAAGGAAATGGCAACCCATTCTAGCACTGTCACCTGGGAACTCTCGTGGAGAGGAGCCTGCAAGGCTCCATAGGCTTCATGGCGGGGGGCAAAGGGGTCAGACACAACTCCGTGACTAAGGTCTGGAATCCAAAAGCAGACCAAACATCAAAAATCTAAAGTTAGAAAAAAATAAAAACTTAGGCATAATTGTAGCTAATTAGACACAAAGAACACCAACTCTGCTAGATTACAGCAGAAGTGGGAACTCTGGGTTATAATTCAAAGCATATGAACTTAAATAACTATGCTGCTAAGGGGTTTTCCCTGATTTTTGTGCCATCCATGTTTCTTCTCTGATCCTACCGGCCAACATTGTTTCCTTCCTTGAAAATGTATATCTAACCAAACAGGATATAAAGAGATGGCACTAAACACTTACCTCTTCCATCTTACAACCAGACACACCCAAAACTATATTCTGCAAACTGAGGGATAATAATCCATTTCTCACTTGATCTTTCTTTTATTGCCACAATCTCTCAAGTTATCTTTATCTCTGTCACAAGCCTTTCCACTTAAAACATAACAAACCCTAGGTCCCTATTTAAGCGTGCTGGGTTACACGGAGTCTTTGCTACTTACTGCAGTTACATGGCAAGATCATCATGACAAGAAATGGGGCAGGGAACAAGAACTGTACATGCTAGAGATAGGTCATGCATGCATGCATGCTAAGTCGCTTCAGTTGTGCCCTACTCTGTGCAGCTCTATGGACATCAGCCTGCCAGGCTCCTCTGTCCAGGGGATTCTCCAAGCAAGAATACTGAAGTGGGTTGCCATGCCCTCCTCCAGGGAAATCTTCCCAACCCAGGGACTGAACCTGTCTCTTATGTCTCCTACATTGGCAGGTGGGTTCTTCACCACTAGCGCCAACTGGGAAGCCCATAGAATACTAGAAAATCACTGGATATATTAACTTTGCTTCATACAGGAAGCTTTTATTTAAAGACTGAAAGTTAAAACTTCAGCTTTGGGTTTTATTGATACGTATATAAGAAACACCACATGAAAGATAATTATATTTTATGCAGAACTACAGGACACGCTGTCCTATCATGTTATTCAATGCCACTACATGAGAATACTCATGTTTTCCCATTACCATACTTATTATAAGAACAGACTTTATTTTTAACTGTCTGCTATACATGAGTTTTTCCTAAAAGCCTTACAAATGCTTTCCAAAGATAGGGTCCTGAATTCTAATACTAGAATGTCTAAGCTTCTTGACATATTGAGTGCCACTGTGAGTTTTCCAAATTTGCAGGCCACAGGACTGGAAACAGTCAGTTTTCATTCCAATTCCAAAGAAGGGCAATGCCAAAGAATGTTCAAACTACAATACAATTGCGCTCATTTCACATACCAGCAAGATAATGCTCAAAATTCTTCAAGGTAGGCTTCAACAATATGTAACCAGAGAACTTTCAGATGTACAAGGTGGATTTAGAAAAGGCAGCAGGACCAGAGATTAAATTGCCAACATCCTTTAGATCATAGAAAAAGCAAGGGAATTAAAAAAAAACCCATCTGCTTCATTTGACTACACTAAAGCCTCTGACACCATGGATCACAACAAACTGTAGAAAATTCTGAAAGAGATTCAAATACCAGACCACCTTACCTGTCTCCTGAGAAACATATATGCAGAACAAGAAGCAACAGTTAGAACTGTACATGGAACAATAGACTGGTTCCAAATTGAGAAAGGAGAATGTCAAGGTTGTATATTGTCACCTTGCTTATGTAAGTTATATGCAAAGTACATCATGTGAAATCCCAGGCTGGATGACTCACAAGCTGGAATCAAGATGGCTGGGAGAAATATCAACAACCTTAGATATGCAGGTGATACCACTCTAATGGTAGAAAGTAAAGAGGAACTAAAGAGCCTCTTGATGAGGGTGAAAGAATGAAATGAAAAAATTGGCTTAAAACTCAACATTCAAACAGCTAAGATCATGGCATATGGTCCCAAAACTTCATGGCAAACAGATGGGGAAAAGTGGAAACAGTGACAGATTTTATTTTCTTGGGCTCCAAAATCACTGTGGACTGTGACTGCAGCCATGAAATTAAAAGACGCTCACTCCTTGGAAGAAAAGCTATGATAACCTAGACAGCGTATTAAAAAGCAGAGACCTCACTTTGCCGACAAAGGTCCATATATGGACTGTGGAAGTGTAGTCAAAGCTATGGTTTTTCTGTAGTCATGTATGGACGTGAGAGTTGGACCATAAAGAAGACTGAGTACCGAAGAATTGATGTTTTCAAACTGTGAGGCTGAAGAAGACTCTTTAGGATCCCTTGGACAGCAAGGAGATCAAACAAGTCAATCCTAACAGAAACCAACCCTGAGTATTCACTGGAAGGACTGATGTTGAAGCTGAAGTTCCAATATTTTCGCCACCTGATGTGAAAACCCAACTTGTTGGAAAAGACCCTGGTGCTGGGAAAGACTGAGGGCAAGAGGAGAAGGGTCAACAGAGGATGAGATAGTTAGATGGCATCACCAACTCAATGGACACAAGTTTGAGGAAACCCTGGGAGACAGAGAAGGACAGGAAAGCCTGGTGTGCTATACAGTTCATGGGGCCACAAAGAGTCAGACACAACTCAGCAACTGAAAAACAAAAGCTTCTTGAAGGCAGGAGTTTTTATCTTTTCTATATCTTCAGTGTGCAGTTAGCTGACACAATCTTAATGACATTATACCACTACATATATTTAAAAATGGAAAATAGGATCAGGATATGGAAAAGGGCATGAGGAACAGTTAACTAGGCCTGTTTGGCTTCATCAGAGATAGCTGTGGAAAATGAGGGAGTAAGGAAAGGCAAGTGGAAGACAATATATTTATACCAAATGCAGATAGCAGATAACGTGTCTGCTTGATTGCAGATAGCAGTAAAAAACTAGGCTATGTCTGAGGAGGGAAGCATGGTTAATACAAAAGAGAGCCCAAGTTAAAATATTCTGTAAAATCAAAGAAGAAAAGATATCAAATAGAGAAACCTGTTTCTAATATTAATCTTTTAAATGAGAAATTAAGTGAAATCATTGGTTTTAAGGGAAATCACAATGGAAAAAATGAGGAAACCCTAGAGTCAACCAAAAGTATACTTCTAGGTAACAAAAAGACCCAATGCTTATGGCCTTGTGGACCCATTAAAAGGTATGAAAGGAGAAGAGAAGCCAACTTAAGCAAAAAATTAAAAGAAATAAGATGGCAAATAAATGACTGATCATTAACAAACCAAGGATATCTACCTAAAATTATTAGAAATCTTTAAAAAGTCAAAGTATGAACACCAGGTATCAAAAGCCAGTAAGGCTTTTGAAATTCTTGTTTTGGATACTCCATCCCTCTTAGGAACCCAGATGTCAAGATAAGAGAAGCCC